TGACGGTTCCTACCCCTATAACCCCCCCGGTAAACCCCCCACCCAGCCCCGACCCGAACACACCCCCCCACCCCCTTCAATTGCACCCCACAGGTTGATTTTGACTTTGGAGTCAAATTTTGACTCCAAAGTCAAAATCAACTTGTGGGGTGCAATTGAAGGGGGTGTGGGGGTGTGTTCGGGTCGGGGCTGGGTGGGGGGTTTACCGGGGGGGTTATAGGGGTAGGAACCGTCAATTTTACGAACGGGGCACCGGAGCACCCCCGGGTCATCCTATGACATTGCCGGGCAATGTCACTTGAACCTTGCCCTTTTTAAATATAATTTTTTATTTTGTATTTCTTTACAAATTTGTAAACAAAATCATTTTAAAAGTCATGGAATTTTGCACGTTGATCAAAATGAGAAACATTTTGGGATGAAGATAAAATAATACGGAGTAAAACAAGTCATGGTTGGAGAAGGGAGCAAAAAGTGGCTTGTTATATCACTATTCATTTGCTAAAAAAAAAGCATTAGCAAGTCACATATAGCAAGCACCTTTGGAGATGCTCTAAGCCCAAATACGAACAAAACACTAGTATTGTTCAATGTGTGATAGAATATAGTGAAAATTGATATTATTTTTATGCGATATTATCTTAAATCTAATTTAGTTACACCCAAGTTGAGAAAGTGTTTTAAGAGCATCTCTAATAGGAAAGCATGAATATGAGCTATTATTTGCTTGTTTAACAATTGTACAATATTCCAAAAGTGCATTTAAATAATGTGAAGAATCTTGCTTAGATAGCATTAATGTATGATTAATTTTGTGGGGAGAGGTCGCTTAATTTGCCCTATTTGCGATGATCAAGACGAATCTGCTTACCACGTACTGGTACAATGCCTCTTTGCTAAACTGATTTGGAGTGCTTCGGTCCTGGGGTGGTTTAATTTGCACCACCACCGAGTTCATCTGCTGAATGGATACCTGCAACACTTCGATTATTTACTCAACTACCAGGTCACTGTTTGGTGTATTTTCGGTATTCGTTTATAAAATTGATGAAACAAGTCCCTCTAACCACCCCTATCCCAACACACCCCTGTCACCACCCCTGTCCCCTCCAAGCCCCCCTCCAAATGTGTATTGCATAATAGCCACACATTTGGAGAGGGACTTAAGAGCGGTAGGGTGGAGGTAGGATGGGGCTGGAAAAGGGAGTTTCGGAGGATAATTAGAGGGGATAGGAACCATTAATTTAACAAACGGAGTACCGAAAATGTCTCAAAATGGGCGAATGTTATCTGCCGTTGACACCGGATTCTAGTGTCAACGAAACCCCACCCATATATTATATGGGCTATTGGACTAGCTGAAACAACAAAGTGTGGAGAGGAGACCATATCAATGTTGTGACTTGTGACGACTTGGGCAAAAGCAGAAACAACTTTTAATATATAGTTGGTGGGAGTTGATAGGGGTGGATGGTGAACGAGAGCAAAGCGGCGGTGATGCTATGACGTAGAACCTACCTCCAAGGGGGTGGGTGAAGGTTAATGTTGATGCTTCTACAAGTTTCGTAAATGACGTGATTGGTTTTGGATTTCTTGTACGAGATGTTATTCAAACATTCCTTGGAGCCTCGAGTACCACAGAGAGAGGAAGCTTGTGTGCTAGAAAGGCTGAAGCCATGACGCTTCTTGGCCATGGGTGATGTTGGAATCAAGTTACAAGGATGTGGTGGATGTTTTTTGTGGCTCGACTAACGATTACTCTTATTTTTATTTGATTATTCTTGATTGTAAAAAAATTCCACTGTTAGTTGCGGTAAAGAGATTAATATCTCATATGTTTCATGCTCTTCACTTCAAAAGTTCAAAAGGTCATGTGTTATGATGAAGTTTTATAGCGTCTTGATAAAGTGTTAGGTAGGTGTCCTATAAACATGTGAATGTGAGTAAAATATGCATGTTATGAGACTTAAATAGGGGCTTGACCACAACAACCAATGGAGTGAATTTTCAGATTATTTTGATTAGTTGAATTGAATATGAAGACTATGAAGTATGTGCTAAGTTGATTGAAAAAAAGTGCAGTCTTAAGTAATGAGTGATTGAAAATTATTACTCTCTAAAAATGAAGGATTGCCACCACAGCTAGCTGTAGATGCAACGCCCCATCACACCTAGTTTGTAATGAAATGAGGACGTGAAGGAAGCGATCAAGCCATCCTCATGTCTCCATAAAACACAGTCTTATACGAAGTAGTGCATACAACACTCTTTTCATATTAAGGTTTTCATATTTGACTTAAATTTAAAAAAAATAAAATGTTTTGATTGAAAACAATATAGAAGAGAGTAGATTGTGAATCACATAAATTTTTTTGAAAATTGGAAAGTTTTTTTCATTTTTGGAAATTCCCAAAAAGAAAACTAAAAGTCTTTTTTTAGATAGAAGGGATACTTTTTTGTTCATCAAAGATAGGCTAGACACGGTACCGGTCCGGTTTCGAATCGGTGTTACCATTACCCCTGATGGGTAATAACCCATGGATACCACCCGGTTGGTTAGTCCGACTGGGTTGTGACGGAAGTGACAGAGCGCATCCTTCTCAGACCAGGCCGTGAAGCCGGTTGTGTAGTACTCTTATGCAGCCGGTCAGACAAATGACCGGTTGGATAACCAGAGACGTGCTCGACGTGCTTAGTTTTGTTATAAATACCCCTAAAACCCTCATTTGTGAGGTATGCTTTAATTAATCCACACGGCCTGTACTGATTGTAATAAGTTCCTACTTTCATTAATAACAAGCCGGGTTACAGGTGTTTCCACCTACAACCCTCCCGATTACTTATACTTAGCATTTGCATGGTAATTTACACCATCAAATTGGCGCCACCCGTGGGACCTATTACAAAAAGTCATGGCCAGTAACTAGGAAACCGTGATCTCACAAATTTCTACTCCCGCTGAGAACGTCACTTCGTTCCCGGGAGGAAGTACCCATCCGATAAGCTAGGTTCCTACCCCCATCATCACCATTCCACCACCTGTCCCATTCACTTCCCCCGTGAACCCTGTTCCCGTTTTTTCTTCAAATTTCCCCGGACCCCTTGATCCAATGTACAGCCAGGCTCTTCAGAATTTTGGACATTTCATGTCCATGTTCCAGCAACCAAGAGGATTTTCACCTTTCATTCCGGGATTGTACCCACAATCCTCGCCTCAAACTAATGTCATTCGCCCGGTCGTCCCGACAAACCTGATCGGGGAAATGGATAAAGCAGGTCCATCCCGGTCCAGAAGGAGCCGGTCCCGCAGGTCTCAGACAAAGGTGACCTCGGATGAGGATGTGCGCTCAGTCCATAGCAAGGATGAGGACTGGGACGTTCCCCAAGCACTCAAGAAGTTGAAGGGAAAAGCTGTCCAACCTGAAGGATCCAGGAGGTCGGCCTTTCAAAGACTTGGCCATGATGGCCGAAATCAGAACCGGTCAGCAAAAGAGCGGCTTGGGGTAGAAACCATCTCAGCTAGTACCTTTAATCGTGCAGGGAGAGGAGCCGGACGACCTGGTCAGACCAGGCGAACGGAACCACCCCCACGCGATGAGCCCCAGCACAGCCGGGCGCCGCGAGAGGAAGAAGCCGAAAGCCACCCCAGGCACACGACCCGTTCTCATGTTGAACAACCTCGGGATCGTGTGGGCCGGGTCGAGGCACGTCTGGAGAAACTACAACGCCGGGTAGACCGGGAAGAAAAGAAGAANCAGCTAGTACCTTTAATCGTGCAGGGAGAGGAGCCGGACGACCTGGTCAGACCAGGCGAACGGAACCACCCCCACGCGATGAGCCCCAGCACAGCCGGGCGCCGCGAGAGGAAGAAGCCGAAAGCCACCCCAGGCACACGACCCGTTCTCATGTTGAACAACCTCGGGATCGTGTGGGCCGGGTCGAGGCACGTCTGGAGAAACTACAACGCCGGGTAGACCGGGAAGAAAAGAAGAAGATCCTGCTGAACGAATCTCTGTTCACAGACCGGGTTCATGAAACCCCATTTCCAAAGAAGGCAAAACTCGAGGCCCCGAAGTTCACCGGGAAGGAGGACCCAGAAATTCACGTCAAACTCTCCATCAGAGCGGGCGGATGATGGGTCTTTCCGGGGATGAGAAATGTTTGCTTTTCTTTCAAACCCTTCGCGGCCGCGCCGCTGAGTGGTTTCATAACTTACCGGCTGGTGAAATCGATTCTTTCGATGAACTGGCTGAGGTGTTTCAAGAAAAGTTCAAAGAAAACTGTACCAAGAGGAAAAATTTTACCTACTTGAGTACAGCCGGGCAGCGAGAGCACGAAGATCTGACAAAATTCCTCACCCGGTGGAAGGATGAGGTTGACAAGGTGGAAGAGATGGATGACAAAACAGCCATGTCCCTCCTTGTGTCCGGACTCCGATCCGGAGAGTTGTATAATGAATTCTGTAGGAGGCCTCCCCAGTCCTACCAAGAGGCCTATAACACAGCCTGGGATTATGCTGACGCTGAAGCACAGGTGTCATCTAAGAGGGAGGCCGAGCAGGGCCATTCAAAGGAAAAAATTTCCTTGAAAAAGGAAATTGCACTGCCCGGTAAGATAAGAGCAGAAGTAATGGAGGTAAAGCCGGTCAAATCTGAAAAGAAACCGACCGGCGAAAAACAATGGACGGAGAAGTATTGCTCCTTTCACAAAACTGATTCCCATAACACTGCAGAGTGTAACAGTGTGAAAGGAGTAATAAAACAGATGATTGAGGCCGGTGAGATTGATCCGGAATATTTGGCTCAGGCCAAGCAAAAGAAGAACCAATGGGTCAGACCTGAAGGACAACCGGCCGAGCAAAACAAAAAGAAGAAAACAGCCGGTAAGGAGCACTTGCAAGTCATCTACGGCGGACCAGAAGGGGGAGACTCTGCTTCCCAAAGGAAGAAGTGGGGACGGGAACTCTACGTTGGTACGGTGGCCCTAAATCCCTGGTCGAAACAAGCGAGACGGGAACCAATCACTTTTACTGACCGCGACCTTCCCGCCACCGGAGAAGATCACAATGACCCCCTGGTGATAACTATGGACATGGGTGGAGTTGATGTCTCCCGGGTACTCGTTGACACGGGCAGTAGTGTTAACGTATTGTACTTAGATGCATTTAAGAAGCTCAAGTTGTGTCGGACACGGCTTGAGCCCTTAAAGACTCCCCTCTCTGGGTTTACCGGGGACTCAGTCGAAGCTGAAGGGTCGATCCTTCTAACCTGTGAACTGGGCACGGGCGACCAGGTCGTCCAAAAACAAATGAGGTTTGTGGTCGTGAACATCAATTGTGTTCACAATGCCATTCTGGGCCGGCCTGGAATAAACAAAGTCCGTGGGGTCATCTCCATGGCTCATCTCTGTATGAAATTCTATACCCCGGGCGGTATAGGACAAGTCAGAGGGGATCAAAAGAAGGCCCGGCATTGCTATTTGGAAGCTGTAAAGAAAATGACAAAGGCGTTTGAGAGAGTCACTTTGGTCTCTCAGGAGGAAGACCGGTCGAAACTAGAACCAGGCGATGAAACCGAGCAGATTGTTCTACGGGAAGCTTTCCCAGAAAGAATGGTACGAATTGGAAGAGATCTGCCCGGAGGACTTCGAGATGAAATCATCTCAGTTCTTCGGGAATATGCAGATATTTTCGCCTGGAGTGTGGCGGACATGCCGGGCATTGACCGCTCTGTTATATGCCATCGTTTGGCTGTGATGGAAGGGAGCTGGCCTGTGAAACAGAAGAAGAGGCACTTGGCAAACGTCCGGAGGGACTTTGTGAAAAAAGAGGTGAAGGATTTGTTGGCGGTCGGGCACATACGGGAGGTGCAGTACCCGGCCTGGCTGGCTAACGTCGTCTTGGCTCCAAAAGGCGATACCTGGCGCATGTGCGTGGATTACACGGATCTGAACAAGGCTTGCCCCATGGATTCATACCAGTTGCCCAGTCCCGATCAGATGGTCGATGAGACGGCCGGGTGTGAGTTGCTGAGCTTCATGGATGCCTTCAAAGGCTATCATCAGATCTTCATGGCCGAGGAGGACGAGGAAAAGACTTCATTCTTAACACCTGAAGGCACTTATTGCTACCGGGTGATGGCCTTTGGGCTAAAAAACTCGGGCGCCACCTATCAGAGGATGGTAAACAGGCTTTTTAAGCCTCTCCTCGGTAAGTCCATGGAGGCCTATGTGGATGACATGCTGATCAAGAGCCCGGGTGCGGAGAACCACCCGGCCGACATGAGGCTTTGCTTCGAGATTATGGCAAAGTACAACTTGCGTCTCAATCCCAAGAAATGCGTCTTTGCTGTAAAGACCGGTAAATTTCTAGGGTTTATGGTGACCAAGCGTGGTATTGAGCCTAATCCGGAGAAGATTAAGGCCATAACTGAGATGAGGTCGCCCAGTTCGCTGAAGGATGTACAACGACTTATCGGGCGGTTGGCGGCCTTGAGTCGTTTTCTCTCCCGGTCTGCTGAGAGGGCTCTGCCTTTCTTCAAGGTTCTGAAGAAGGCCAATACATTTGAGTGGGACCAGGAATGCGAAGAAGCTTTCCAGCAGCTGAAGGAGTACTTAGTCTCTGATATTGTTTTGTCTAAACCCAAACCGGGTGAGACTTTGTACTTGTATCTGGGAATTTCCCAAAACGCTGTAAGCTCTGTTTTGATAAGAAATGAAGATGGCCAGAGGCCTATTTACTATGTGAGCAAAGCATTAAATGGGGCTGAAAGCCGGTACACTGCCATTGAGAAAACGGCATACGCACTTTTCATAACGGCCAAAAAATTGATGGCATACTTCCAAGCTCACACTGTGGAAGTACTGACCGATCAGCCACTTGGACCGGTCCTTCGAAATTCAACCTCCTCGGGAAGGTTGATCAAATGGGCAATGATGCTCACTTAGTTCAGAATAGAATATAAACCAAGGACTGCAATCAAGGGTCAAGCTTTGGCAGACTTCCTCGTCGAACTGACCGGTCTAGAGCCCGAAGCCGGACCTTCCCATACGGTCGAACCATGGTGGGACATGGCCGTTGATGGGGCCTCTGGACCGAAGGGATGCGGGGCCGGCGTAGTCTTCACTACCCCGGAAGGGTTCAAGATCTACCATGCCTTAGTTTTAAATTTCAAACTCACTAATAATGAGGCTGAGTATGAGGCATTGGCCGGTGGCCTCAGATTAGCCCGGTCTCTCGGGATAAAAAGGATGAAGATCCGTTCCGATTCAAGTCTGGTTGTCGGACAAGTCAATGGTGAGATGGAAGTAAAGGAAGATCGCCTGGCCCGGTATAGTGACCTGGTCCGAGCACTCCTAAGGGAGTTAGAAGAGTTTCGTCTGACTAGGATACCCCGGTCAGAAAACGCTGATGCAGATATGCTTTCAAAATTGACGCAAGCTTGCCCAGAGCATGTGTCAAAGTTGGCGAAAATTGAGATACTGGACGTGCCGAGTACAGACCGGTTTGAAGTCGCGGCCATCCAACCGGGCCGGACTTCAGCGATCGGGATAATCGAGGCAGATGATGACTGGAGATATGAACTCATGGAGTATCAAGAGACCGGTCAGAAGCCAGATGACGAGGAACGAGCCAGGAAAGTAGTCCTACGGGCTCCACGTTTCCAGGTAATCGATGGTCATCTATACAAACGTGCCATTGGCGGACCACTCTTGCGTTGCTTGACCAACCCGGAGGCTGAACGGGTAATAGCTGAGGTGCATGAGGGAGTTTGTGCAACCCATCAAATGTCCCGCACTTTAGCTCAAAGGATAATCCTGCTAGGCTACTACAGGCCGACCATTGTTGGGGATTGTGAAAGATATGTCTAGAGATGTAGAACGTGCCAGGTTTTTTACAAACATCCCGGCAGACCGGCCACTTATTACCAACCAACCTCTAATGTCATACCATTTGCCCGGTGGGGAATTGACATTATTGGAGCCTTCCCGGTTGCCCAAGGCGGAAAGAAATTCGTGATGGTGGCTATTGATTACTTCACTAAATGGATCGAGGCTGAGGCGATGGCCACCATAACCGTACGGCAGTGTGAGAAATTTGTTTGGAAGAACATTATCACCCGGTTTGGTGCCCCAAAAATCATTGTCACCGACAACGGTCCACAGTTTCGCAACCCCCGGTTCACTGCATACCTTGCTAGCTACGGGGTCAAGCATAGCAAGGCATCGGTACCATATCCACAGGGGAATGGCCAAGTCGAAAACGCCAACCGGACAATTGTGGACGGTCTGAAAAAGAGACTGGGTGAGGAAGGACACAAATGGTTGGAAGCCTTACCTCATACGGTCTGGGCGCATAGAGTGACTTCAAGAAGAGCAACTGGAGAGACTCCTTTCGTGCTCACTTACAGATGTGAAGCCCGGCTACCAGTGGAGGCAGAACTTCCAACATTTAGGGAAGCCGTGTACCAGCCCGGTCAGAATGAGGTCGACCACCTCGCTGAGCTGAACCTGGTGGAAGAACGAAGGACCACAGCAGCTGTCAAGATGACCGGTTACCAGCAGTCAGTAAAGCGGTATCATGACAACCGGGTAGGCCCGCGATATTTCCAAGTGCATGATGAAGTTTTGCGCAGAAGGGATGCTAGTAAGCCTAATGAGAGGGGCAAGCTGGTACGTAACTGGGAAGGGCCCTATCGCATAAAAGCAATCGTCAGACCAGGCACTTACCAATTGGAAACTATGGAAGGTAGCCGGGTCGACCGACATTGGAACTCTCACCACTTACGTAAATTTTTTAGATAAAGTGTAATGAGTTCCCGGTCATTAACGAAACTTTGTTCTTTTCAGAAAGATTGTTCGCATACATCAACCGGTAATTCGTCACATGACAATCTACCCGGTTAGATGTCCAATCGAACTGGGCATCTCAAAAAAAAAGAGAGACCGGTCTGACCGATCCAACACCTCATCCGTACTGACACGAGAATTAGAAACGATTTGGCTTAACTAAAGGGAGAGCATCCCGGCCCGTTTAAGCCAGACCGCTCCGAAGAAGAACTTAAGGTTTACCTTTCCACAAGGGCGTTAAGCCATTGTGGAAACAGGTCGGCCTTACAAGCACCCGGGCAAATGCTTAACCTTTCGAAAAGGACAAGTCAATACACCATCGAGGGTTATACCAAACCGGGAAGAAGTTTAATTTATAAAATTTAAAGTCTTCCCGGCTGATTATCCAGTCTTTCGAAAAGACTTAGGTAAAATTGTATTCTAAACCGGGTAAATACAGCCGGGCTGTTATTTACTAATCTAAACGGTTAAAGAATCTAAATTGAAAAGAATTAATGAGATATGGAATAAAGTACTCAGCACATAATATAGAAAATATTTTCATTAATATTTCAATATCTTACAAAAGTGCCCGGAGGTAGATCATTACATCAGGAAATATAAAAAAAAAGAGAAGAAGGTCGGATGGATCAGATGCCCGGGAATGGAGGTTCGGGTGACTCGCTATGCAGCTCGGGCAGAGAGAGGGCTTTCAGCTGAAAGCCTTGGATCCTCTACGCAAGGATGCCATAGAGGGCCTTCCGCTCTGAATACTGGCCACTTTCGAAGCCATAGGTCCCTATCTCATCCACAAGGCCGGCCGATACTGGGTGCTTGTACAGACCTTGGAAGAAGCGGATGGCCGTCTCCCTGTCAGGCAACGCCTTAGCAGCGAATTCCTCAGGCTCCTGACCAGCCCAGGCTGCAGCAAGGGCTGCACGCTCCGCCTGCTCTTTTGACAGCTCGTCCCCCAGCCGAGCGATCTCTTCAGCCGATCGGGCGTTCTAGGCCTCTAGCTGTTGGATCTTCTCTTGGGCCTGGTCCTCGGCCTCTTTAGCGGCCTTCAGCAATCCATCATGTTTGGCGTAGAGCTGGCGATAAATCGCACAGTGCTCTGTCCATTTGGCCTCGATCTTCTCTGCCTGTGCGCGGGCGGCTTGGGCATCCTTCCGGCACTTGACCATCATGGCCTCCATCCGGGCCATCTCCTCTTCTTTGGACTTCACCAGCCGGGCGAAGTACTCCTCTCCGATACGGCCGGCCTGCTTTAATGACAAGAAAATTTTTCAGTAAGAAGCATCAGAAGCTGAAAGAAGACGATAAGGAGAAGAGATGGGGGACTACCTCACTCAGGTCAGCTCGAAAGGCTTGGAAGAGCTCTTCGTCCGACCTGGACATCAGGATCTTGGACCGGGGCACTATTGGGCCCTTGCCAGCATCAGAGGACTGGCTCCTCTGATGAGATGGCTGGTCGACCTCCTCAGTCTTCCGCCTTTTCCGCTGAAGGGATTCTTCAGCAGCTTCCTCCTCGGCTTCGCCTTCCTCATTGGGTTGAACCTGCTGGCCAGCTTGAGAAGTGTGGCCGGTCTCTCCCATCAAGTTGTCGAACTCGAAGGTGTCTACATTGATGTAGATCTACCCCGAGTGAATCGGCTGGCTGGTTCCTTGGTGGGATCGAGCCTGCTGGTCGTCCAGCTGGAACGGCTGGCTAGATGGAGGGGTGAGTGGCTGGGCAGAGGAGGGCTCCTCAACCACAATCTGGGGGACGGCAAACTTGGACTGAAACTTCACCACTGAAACAAAAAAGGAACCGGTTAGAAGAATGAAGTTGCGGAGAAATTAATTCAAATGAAAAATGAGAAGGGCGGTTGATTGACCTTTCTCCTTCTTCTTCGCCGGGCGTGAAGGACCGGCGGTGGTTGTTCCCGGGGCTTTGGATCCCCTCTCCCGGCTGATGGGGATAGCTTCGGGGATGGCCCCGGGCAGGATAATCTCCGGCTCAGGATCAGTCTCCCGGCCGGGGTAGACACTCCACTTGCCGACGTGATAAAGACCGCGGGTGGAGGCATCCCCGGCCTTGAGGGTGGCTTCCCAGGCAACAAGGTCGTCGGCTTCCGCAGGTTTGACCTGGCGCTTCATTCTTTTCCCCCAGACATTTTGGGCAAAGGGGAAAGTAGCCGGGGGGAATTTGATACAAACGTATTTGTCCTTCCACTTCTTGTTAGAAGGTGGAAGGCCGCAGAGGAATGCCCGGCCTTGGTGAGAAGACACCACCACGAATCCAAGGGTTTCCTTGGACCCGGGCCGGACATTGAACATATGGTCGAAGAGACGAAGGGAGAGGGGAATACGAAGAAACCGGCAGACATTGATGAAGCTGCCTAACAGACGGTGACCATTAGGGGCAAGTTGCCCGGGCATGATACCGTATGACTCGAGGAAAAGGACTTTGAAGGGGTGAATAGAGAATTCGCCCAGGTCCTTGATAGAGTGGTAGTGAATGCCAATCGACGTACCGACATGGAGAGGGATAATGCTCTTCCATGTTGCCCGGTAAGTCAATTGGTACCCATCCGGCATCAGGTTGCGCACCTCGTGGACTTGGGCNGAACATATGGTCGAAGAGACGAAGGGAGAGGGGAATACGAAGAAACCGGCAGACATTGATGAAGCTGCCTAACAGACGGTGACCATTAGGGGCAAGTTGCCCGGGCATGATACCGTATGACTCGAGGAAAAGGACTTTGAAGGGGTGAATAGAGAATTCGCCCAGGTCCTTGATAGAGTGGTAGTGAATGCCAATCGACGTACCGACATGGAGAGGGATAATGCTCTTCCATGTTGCCCGGTAAGTCAATTGGTACCCATCCGGCATCAGGTTGCGCACCTCGTGGACTTGGGCTTTCTGCATGATCGACGATTGCGTTTGAACCAACCGGTCGTCAAGCAGAATAAAGCCCTCGTCCCCGGGCTGGGCAACCGAGGCCACTTACGCCACGGGAAAAGAAGGAGCGCAAGTGGAAGCATCAACCGGCTTCTTCTGTGGAGAAGTAGCCGGGTGCTCGGAGTCTTAGGATGAAGAAGAAGAAGAGGAACCAAAGGTCGGAGACCGGCCGCCAGAACCATAAGAGTGAACGGAAAGGTTCTGGCTATCCTCACGGTCTGACATGACTCAGAAAAGGAAGGGAAGAAACTTACTTGGAGACGGTTAGAAGACTCGGAGGACTCGTGAAAAAAGCAAAAGCAATCGGGCAGTTTTTTAATTTAAGATTTGCAAGTGAGGAAATTCTAGGGAGAACCTCGCTTAATATAGGGGGAGTGCCGCCCTGACGGACGAATAGCAGAATGACACGTGGCGAGCGAAATGATTTCTCATCATAACTTCTCGGGAAGACCAAACGGCACAATGAATCGGCAGCTCTGTACCCGACTTCGAGAAGGTTCTCCCGCCTTGGACACCCGGTTTTCGAAATTTAAATTTCGAAAATTCAAATTTCAAATATTTTGGGTTGGCGCTAGTTTTCCGAGATGATTTTCCCGCCAAATAGGGACTGGGCAGTTCAAATTTCAAGAGATAATCGCATGTGCTTCCCACCCCTGATGGTCCCCACAGGACCGGGAATCGGAGGACTCCTTGATGGGTAATAACCCATGGATACCACCCGATTGGTTAGTCCGACTGGGTTGTGACGGAAGTGACAGAGCACATCCTTCTCAGACCGGGCCGTGAAGCCGGTTGTGTAGTACTCTTATGCAGCCGGTCAGACAAATGACCGGTTGGATAACCAGAGACGTGCTCGACGTGCTTAGTTTTGTTATAAATACCCCTAAAACCCTCATTTGTGAGATATGCTTTAATTAATCCACACGGCTTGTACTGATTGTAATAAGTTCCTACTTTCATTAATAACAAACCGGGTTACAGGTGTTTCCACCTACAACCCTCCCGATTACTTATACTTAGCATTTGCGTGGTAATTTACACCATCAACCCCATTTTAGGGGAATCGCAAGCGCTACCATTTAGGGATGGTTAGACATGACAAAAATAAATCGATCTATTTTTGACCTAAATCCCGACCCCAAAATATTGCGTTTTGAATAAAGATTTTGATGACCGAATCTGAAGTTGACCGAACCCAGAATAACCTGCTAAAAATGACCCAAATCCCACTGAACCCGAATATAATCTGACCGACCCGCTAATGTAAGAATTTTTCAAAAATATATACTTTACTTTGAAATATAATGTTATAAAAATAAAGTTATTATATTCTTTTCTTACAACTCGCTTTTAGTTTACAAATTTATAGTTTTAGACAAATTTTAATGATATTGCATATTTATCTTACTTTTATCAAAGATTAGGTTTTTTGTTTTAATTTTTAATATGGATTTATATATCTAAAAATTACTTCAAAAGTTGAAATTAAATAATCTAATAGATTTAATACATACTATCTCCGTCCCCATTTTTATTACAATTTTTTGTCTCTCTACTCTTGATAAATTTTGTTTATTTACATGATTTATTAAATATTAAGTAAAATAAAATATTCTTGTCACCTCTTATTTTGTGAACTTTTGACGTAATTTTTTAATATATAATTTTTATTTTCTTATTATATACCGATTTGTAAATAAAATAATTTTTAAAAGTAAAGAATTTTTCTTCGTAACCCCAATTTGTAATCAAATTTGGGACGGAAGGAGTACTTTTGTATATTTTAAAGTTATTCAATGCAAAATGCAAGTGTTAATATTAATTTAAAAATATTAAAAATCTGAATAATTCTTTTTATAATTTGTTTTGTAAAAAAGTTACTCCCTCCATCCTAATTCTTTCTTCCCAATTTGACTTTTCCCCATTTTTAATTTTTGGCTTTGATTTCAAATTTTACCCTTTTAAAAAAAGATTTGTTGAATTTTTTTTGTAATTATTCAAAATATAGAGTTAGAAGATAATTGGTGTAAATACATGAAAGTATTAATGTCATTTGTCATCTTTTTTTCGAATGGGAAAGTAGTTTTAGGATGGAGAAAAAGAAGAAGTGGGAAGAACGTGTTAGGACAGAGGAAATATATTATTGACTCGAAGTAGATCAACCTTAAATAAATTAAAAATAACCGAAAAAACCCTTTTTAAAAAAACGGAGCCGGAACCTTCCCCATGGTTTCAACTTTCAAGCTGTTCCGGTTCCAATTCCAAACCGGAACGTTGTCCAGCCCCACAGAAAAGGAATCGTTGCGCCGTCAGTGCCTCCCTCTAAATCCACGCTCAACAACCCTATCTGCTTCCTCCCGCCTTCCTTCCCACAGATACAGAGAGTCAGAGCGAGATGATGGATGGCATTGAGCAATGCGTCGCCGGCTTCCCCGATCTCTACAACGTTTGGTTCTACGGCCGCCGCATCGAAACCCTAGTCACCTACGAATCAAGCCGGGTCATCGAATGGATCGACGAGACCGAGTTCATCCACCGCCGCCGCCTCCACCACCTAGTCGTCGGCCTCGACGTCGAGTGGCGTCCGATTCGCTACCGCGGAGAGAGCAATCCGGTGGCGACGCTCCAACTCTGCGTCGGCCACCGATGCCTCATCTTCCAGCTTCTCTACTGCAGCCAGATCCCGGACGCGCTCCAACGCTTTCTCTCCGACTCCAACTACACCTTCGTCGGCGTCGGAATCCACACCGACTTGGAGCTTCTCGTGCAGGATTACGAACTGGAGGTGGCCAACGCCGTCGACTTGCGGACCATAGCGGCGAACGAGTTCAACGATCGGTCTCTGGAGAGAGTCGGATTGAAGCATCTGGCGGTGACCTACATGGGAGCGGAAATGGATAAGCCCAGGCGGGTCACCCTGAGCGATTGGGCTCGCGATTCTCTCACCCTGGAGCAGATCCAGTACGCCTGCATCGATGCTTATGTGAGTTTTGAGATTGGCAGGATTGTGAATGCTTCTGTCCATGATTAGTAATTTTTTTCCGTTGCGATTTCTCTGCTGGAAATTCGAATGCTCATATGACTCTTTGTTTCTATAATGCTTTTGATTTGTGGCTTTTTCCTAATCTCTCTGTCTTGCCGGACGGAGAAAGCCCGGCGCCGGAGAGACTGGTGTCTCACGGTGTCACTGACTGGTTTGGACTGAGTCCATGGTCCGAGCGGAGGGCAGAAGACCCTACGGTTCCTGGTCGATTCTCTACCAGTTTTGGTTCCTAGCTTCCTATTCTCACTCTATTTATTCATTTACTTTAAAAAAAATTCTTACATACATTTATTTTTTGAAGCAACAAAGATTTTATTTAGTCATTTACTTTTTCGGAAAGTCTTACATACACTTCATATCTTCTCCATTTTCCATCCATATTACTCCCTTCGTCCCCCAATTTTTGTCCACTTTCATTTTTACACGTCATCCAATGTATTTCTTTAATTCATTTTATCTTGTAATTTGTATATTAAAAAATTATAGAAATTATATTTTAATAATCTATATGTTAAGACAAATCAAACAAGCTCACACATGACTATATTTAGGCTTACACCTTGAGAGAATTTAATAAGTCAAAATGCTTAGATGAACAATTTCTAAAGTCAAAAGTAGACATAAAATGGGGGACGGAAAGAGTACTAAAAATATTCTTTCCATTTTTTTTTTGGTCTATCTGAAAATATTCTTTTCATTTCTTCTTTTTTGCTTATTTTTTGCTTATTCTTTAAGGATAATTTCAATAATTTTCTTCTATTTTAGACTTTAATCTACTATTTATTACTTTTTTGATAAGAAATAAACCTCTAAAAGTTTAAAGTAGGTGAACTCTTAATAACTTGCCACATTTTGTTTACTTCTTTCATAGGAAAATGCTAAAGAGGCACCACGTGTGCCTCCAAGCATGCCACCCAATATATTTAAATTATATTTTTTTTGAATTTTCCTTTTTTCTTAGGCTTTTCGTCTCCCGCCGCCAAAATTCCCAAATCTCCCGCTTCAACCTCCACAAGCTCCAGAATTCTTCCCCAAAATTCCCAAATCTCTCGCTTCAACTTCCACAAGCTCCAGAATTCGGACAACTCCAATTCAATGTCCTTCTTCTCCGTCGAGAGCATAGCAGCGCCGACAGCCCCACCCCTCCAGCGTCGGCAGACCTGCGTAAGCCCGAACAGGTACTGATGCTAATTTCCTTTTCCTTGGTCTCTTTTTTGATCTCTCTCTGCTGATAATTTCAATTTCCTTGGTGTTTTTTAAACTGTGTGTTAATGTAGTTGTGCATTGTATCTCATAGACGATTAACTTCTTTTTATTGAACTTCATATAACATTATTGTCCGTGAAAGAGGTTTGCTTGTTACTTTTGCTTACTTTCTGTGAATTGTTTCGCATAGAAGATTAACTTCTGTTAATTAAAATTCATATATGATTATTGTCTGTGTAGATATTTAACTTCTTTTAATTGAACTTCATTTCAGACGATGTCTTTGTTAATCCCTGTTAGTGCTCATTTTAGAGCTCAATACTCAGATTGTTCTGATATCCGTGAAGCCATCAATAACATTGAGAAGAAACTGAGTCCTAGTCAATTAGAAGCATTTCGCAAGACTCCAATTGGACACTTCATGGGGCTTAAGAACCTCCAGTTTTTTGGCCAGATCATTCACCACATGCTTTTGTTGCTTGTTGAGGATCAACCAGACGATGAATTCTAGATCCTCCAGAATGGTGAAATTGTCAAATTCACTTTCAATGACTGGTGCAGAATAACAGGGTTGCCGAACACAAAGAAGTACCCAGCTCTTAAGAACAAAGATCTTGGACAGAGCTCGTTATGTCACACATTCTTAGGAGGGGAGGTTACAAAGTGCACGTTCAAGCATGTACGAGAGAAGTATGTTGCAGCGGAGAATAACATGGATTTGAAGAAAATGGTAGACTTTACCATGCTCTACTTCATTGAGTCTGTCCTTTTAGCAAAGGATAAATCTACATACATTGAATCAACCTTTTGCATCTTGTAGAAGAGCCCAAAAAATTCAAATCTTATCCATGGGCTTGGGAGTCGTACTTACTTACCATACGACATATGAAAGGTGCAATATATGGGCAACCCGAAAATTTTGAAAAAAAGAGTAAGGAAACCCCAAACTACAAATCCTTAAAGTACACCTTCTATGGTTTTCCATTGCCTATTCAGGTTAGTATATGAACATAATATGTATTCTAAAACTTATTTGGAATATGCATTATTTTGATATTTACTTTGTTTAATGTGTGTGCTTATGAGTGTTTTCCGGAGTTGGTTGAAAGAAACCTTGCTGTGCAATAGGGAAAAACATCTTGTGAAATTTTGAATTGGGCATCAAAGAAGTTTCCAAAAGCAGTGATAATCGAAGACATTTTCTTTCGTGATTTGCAACAAAAGAAGGTAATATATTCACTGACTTTTAACCTCTGTGAATTTACATAATACCTACAGTCATTGTCTAGGAATATATATGGTTTCTGCTCTTGTTTGTACACAAGATTCTGATGCTAACACCATATATATATTCCTAGACAGTGACTGTAGGTATTATGTAAATTCACAGAGGTTAAAAGTCAGTGAATATATTACCTTCTTTTGTTGCAAATCACGAAAGAAAATGTCTTTGATTGTCACTGCTTTCGGAAACTTCTTTGATGCCCAATTCAAAATTTCACAAGATTCTTTTCCCTATTGCACAGCAAGGTTTCTTTCAACCAACTCTGGAAAACACTCATAAGCACACACATTAAACAAAGTAAATATCAAAATAATGCATATTCCAAGTAAGTTTTAGAATACATATTATGTTCATATACTAAATTGAATAAGCAATGGAAAACCATAGAAGGTGTACTTTAAGGATTTGTAGTTTGGGGTTTCCTTGCTCTTTTTTCAAAATTTTCGGGTTGCCCATATATTGCACCTTTCATATGTCGTATGGTAAGTAAGTACGACTCCTAAGCCCATGGATAAGATATGAATTTTTTGGGCTCTTCTACAAGATGCAAATGGGTTGATTCAATGCATGTAGATTTATCCTTTGCTAAAAGGATAGACTCAATGAAGTAGAGCATGGTAAAGTCTACCATTTTCTTCAAATCCATGTTATTCTCCGCTGCAACATACTTCTCTCGTACATGATTGAACGTGCACTTTGTGACCTCCCCTCCTAAGAATGTGTGACATAACGAGCTCTGTCCAAGATCTTTGTCCTTAAGAGCTGGGTACTTATTTGTGTTCGGCAACCCTGTTATTCTGCACCAGTCATTGAAAGTGAATTTGACAATTTCACCATTATGGAGGATCCAGAATTCATCGTCTGGTTGATCCTCAACAAGCAACAAAAGCATGTGAGGAATGATCTGGCCAGAAAACTGGAGGTTCTTAAGCCCCATGAAGTGTCCAATTGGAGTCCTGCGAAATGCTTCTAATTGACTAGGACTCAGTTTCTTCTCAATGTTATTGATGGCTTCACGGATATCAGAACAAACTGAGTATTGAGCTCTAAAATGAGCACTAACAGGGATTAACAAAGACATCGTCTGAAATGAAGTTCAATTAACAGAAGTTAAATATCTACACAAACAATAATCACATATGAATTTTAATTAACAGAAGTTAATCTTCTATGCGAAACAATTCACAGAAAGTAAGCAAAAGTAACAAGCAAACCTCTTTCACGGACAATAATGTTATATGAAGTTCAATAAACAGAAGTTAATCGTCTATGAGATACAATGCACAACTACATTAACACACAGTTTAAAAACACCATGGAAATTGAAATTATCAGCAGAGAGAGATCAAGAAAGAGACCAAGGAAAAGGAAATTAGCATCAGTACCCGTTCGGGCTTACGCAGGTCTGCCGACGCTGGAGGGGTGGGGCTGTCGGCGCTGCTATGCTCTCGACGGAGAAGAAGGACATTGAATTGGAGTTGTCCGAATTCTGGAGCTTGTGGAAGTTGTAGCGAGAGATTTGGGAATTTTGGGGAAGAATTCTGGAGCTTGTGGAGGTTGAAGCGGGAGATTTGGGAATTTTGGCGGCGAGAGACGAAAAGCCTAAGAAAAAAGGAAAATTGAAAAAAAATATAATTTAAATATATTGGGTGGCATGCTTGGAGGCACACGTGGTGCCTCTTTAGCATTTTCCAAAAAAAATATTTTGAGATGGATGAAGTAATATTTTTTGCTTGTAAATAGATCTAATCATGAGTTTGAATATTCTGCCCAGACCCTAAAGGTCCGTCCAAAAAATAAGGGGCTCGGGCTTAAAATTTTAAACAGGCCCAGCTCGGCCTGTAAATTGTGGATAGTTTGAAGTAGCTAGGGCCTGATATGAGTTGTGTAAATTTACACCCAGACATGAGTGCAATACATAGTTTTTTCTTTTGAAGTCACAATACATAGCTACTCCTCCCTCTTTAAATAAACTTTCTTTTTTGAACTTAACATATGAAATTTTATTTCTTCTAAAAGTGAGTTAGGCTTACATGTTCAAAGTCTATATTTAAAATGTAAATCTTCATACATTTTTTCATAAGTTTGCATGTGAATTTTTTTTCCAAAATGCTCGTTTCTTTTATGCTACAAATGCGTTAAGATTCATAAAATGAGCATGGATTTTAGATCTATCAAAGAATTTGTCCTTAAAATTATTTCATATATATAGTATAGAAATAAAGGTATAAATTACATATTTAGAACTTTACCAAAAGTTTTAAGAAACTATTTTCTCTACCCACATATAAGGGTGATATTTTCAGCATGCTAAAAAATAGTGTTTTCTTTGTCCATATTTAAGTTACATATTTTTTATTCACATAGTTAAATTTTAAGAACTTTCTTTGTTAAAATAGTAAGGTGTAAAAACTCTTGATGCAAATATTACATATTTACACCCTCCGTCCTAACCCCTTAAACTAACTTCTCCTTTTAGTTTACAAGATTTGACCAAAATTATTTCTAATTTAATTTATTTGAATACATATGTAAAATCTAAAAATAAATTTTATATATTTAAAAACTACATCAAATATTCTACAAAACTATAGGTGACAATGGGATGTGACATAACTATATTATTTTATCAGATAACTAATGAAAATAGACATATAAAGCTAGTGTTTCTCTATGCTTATAAGCGGGTCAAAATAGTTTATAAGCAATTTTTAACTTATAAATCAGATGATGATATGTTTGTATGCTTATAAACTGACTTATAAGTTACTTATAAGTCAAAAAAATAAGTAGATCTTAACTACTTATTTTTAAGAAATTTTTTTTGTTCATCCGCTTTAACCAAATTATTTAAAAACTATCTTTCATTATTTATGAATATTTACAAATGATTTATTTATCATTTAAGTCATTTTATTTTCACAAAAGAATATGCAACTCATAAGGAAATTATAAGTTAAAAATTATTTATCAGCAATAAGCCAATGAACATCTACGCAGAGAAACAATCCCAAATGAAAATTGGAAAGATAGTTTTAACATTGATAACAGTTTTGAGTAAATTAAATTCAAAATAATTTTAGTAAAACATTATGAATTGGGACATGATACTTAAATTGTAATAAAGGGAGTACATAGTACTAATTTTGATTGCAGAAGTGACACAACAACCAATTATAATCCCAACATTATTGGGGACCATGGATCAAATCATCAAAATGTGTGCAATGTTATCCGTATAAAAAAAAGGTTGTTTTCGTTATACCCTAAACCAATGCTGCATTCATGGTCCAAGACTTCAGAGAAAGAAGCAAGAAGTTTAACGTTACCTTTGATTTGGCCCCCGTTATGTGCTAAAAACTACTTTTAAAACATCATTAATAATGACTGTTTTAGCTCCATTGCAAAAGTGATAGACCTCACAAAATCAAATCAAGGCCTTTGAAACTGCAACTTTTTGTTCATGAGTTGAGAAACCACTCTTATGAGAGTGAATGTATACAACATTACAACTGTGAGCAGCATTCAATATGAATGAACATTGAACAAAATAGCTCAAGTCATAGGAAGGAACCCAGCTATTGGGCAACATAAAGGGAAGCAAAAAGGGCGTCGTTTTATACACTTGCTTGTTTCCTTTCCCCTCCTTACATATCTTATTATGAAGAAGAGAGACCATACATAACAACAGCGATGAACCATCCCGGACCTGTCACCTCTGCAACTTTGACCCGGTAATCTGCCTCACCGCTGAAGTTTTTATAGCATATTTACATGCACAAAAGACAAATATCTACTCGAAAAGGTGAGGAGCGTTCCATTTTGGCATTGCTCTCGCCTCTTGATTGGTGTTGTGAAATAATGAAAATGGAAACCCTCTGCCTCATTTCAGCTCTTATAGATGAAGTGTACAAGTAGACAGAGAGAGAGAGCCCATAGGTATGAATAAGGGATGGCAAAGGATGCTGCAAAAAGAAGTGCATCAGCTTAACTTGTAAGTTGTAACTTTTACTGATATAGAGAGTATATTTTTAAAAAACATGGGCAATAGTAGGAATGAAAAAAAAAACGGCTCTGTTTGTTTGGAGGAAAATAAATTGTGGAAACTAGAGGGTGAGCGAAAAACTAGAGCTTCGCAATGGAGGAAAAACTAGCTTTGCTTCATACTGCATTAACTTCTCTAAAAAGACCAGCACTCTTGGAAACACACTCACCTGAGGATGGCATGGATGAAATGAAATGTACTTTGTCAGGAGGAACCGCATCAGGTGGGGGATCAACCCTTGGAAGTGGGCTTGCTGTAGGAACTTCAAGCGGCTTCACCAATGGAGCAGAAGCAGAATGTGGAGGTGAAACGGCGGGTGACAAGTGATTTTGTTTTCGTGTTTCACTTGGAGGCCTTCCCATTTTAGAGCCAAAAGGACAAGGAGCCTTGACCTTATGAATCTTGTGTGTGTGTGGAGAAGGTGAGGGTACAGGCGATCTCTCCCCTCTACTTGGAGAAGGCAGCAAAGCCGGAGTGGGGTTGGTTTTTTGGTGATGGTTATGAAGTGGAAGAGGTGATGGAGATGGTGATGGGCTCCCACCAAGCATGTGCTTCCAATTAGAGGAAAGGCTGACTTGTTTGACTTTACCAAATTGGGTATTATTTAGGCCGAGGTTTTGGGCATGAGAATCCGTGATTGTTTTAGCCAACTGCTTCATTCTTGACTTCGAAGGGTTAATCCCAACTGCTAGAAGGACTTGAGACTTGACAATGGTTAGCGGATCAATAGTTGAACCTTTTGTATTTGTCAAACTGATATACAAGTTCTGCACAAACAAAATTAGATATTTATGAAGAGGCAGCGTTTTAACGAAAAATAGACTGAGTATTTTGAAAATGGTCTCTATTCATTCTAAGCCAACGGAAGGAAAACAGAGTGTATAATATACCTAGTAAGATTGTTTTAAAGTAGATCCAGCCCTCTAGATTACTTCAGTGAAATAAATACTAAGAGCAAGATTCTAAAAGTGCACAGAATAAGACAACAACAGCAACAACCCAATTGCATCCCACAAAAGTAAAGTAGGGTCTGGGGAGGGTGTTTCCAGACCTCACCCCTACTCGAAGGTAGAGAGGTTGTTTCTAAAGAGACCCCCGACTCAAGCACCACAGGTAATCACATACGCAGCATGACGCCTATGTTCAAAACATAAAGCGGCTGCTTTCGAATGACCCATGATGAGCGTCGAAAGTAACTTCACTATTAAAAGAAGCACAGACACTTTAAAGAGTCATTTTGTTTTATTCCATCATACACCAAAGCCAAAATGTAGTGAATCTTTGGCTACACCCGATATGATGGAAGGGTGTACAAAATAATGTGTAATTAAATGACTAAAAGCAAAAGAAAGTTGAACCTTGGGAGTTAATAAAAGAACACAATTGTACTGACAATATAAGCGGACCATACATCATTTCTGGTTGAAAACAATGTGCTCGTAAAACGTGCTTTTTAGCTTGAAAACACAGTGGTTCCAAAAAAATTGACAGTCATGTTGAAGTGTTCAGAAAAATTAGCTTCTTAGAGAGCTTTTTGGTATATATATATATATATATATATATATGTATGTATGTATATATATATATATATATATATATATATAAAAGCGCAAATCAAGAAGATAGACATTGTAGTTCCTTGCTTCGTAGCATTTTGAGAGCATTTTTACCTATTAAAAAAGAACATACTCGGACCCTACTCCCTTACCCAGAGAGTCAGGGACCAACCATCTATCTAACTCAGTTCCTAGTTTAACGGGATAAGTGCTCTGTCAGGAGGATTTGAGGAGGGTGGTTCATAAAAAAAGTATATAAGTTGGGAAAATAAAAGAATTTGCAGAGTATCAAAATTCATCTGACTTTTTATCTGACACTATTATGCACGAAAATGAGGAAATTATGTGTTTTAGCATCACTAATACTCCGTAATTAAAAGCATGAAGCAAAGAAATACTTCCCCTGTCCCCAAATGAATTACCTTGTTTGACTACACGGAGTTTAAGAAAGTTGTTGAAAAGTAAAAATTGTGGATAGAATTTTTTTAGAGAGGAGTGGATTGGGGGGTAGCCACTTACTGTTTTCCGTTTGAGAGAAAAGAAGTGAGTAATTTATTTTTTGGATGGATAGAAGTGAAAAGAAGGTAACTCATTTAGGGTTGGAGGGCGTATTAAAGAAAGAGTTATTCCAAATGAATTGCATGGGATGACTGATGAATGACATTACTGCAAAACGTACGAACCAGTGGCATAAAGTTTATGAACAAATCATAGCACAGACCTCATACGGAGAAAGATGCAATCCTGACTTCAACTCCCTATGTAGCTCATCAAAGTTATCTTGAATTTCTTTAATAGAATTGTTCAATGTGAAGTTGAAATGAATCTGCTGAGCTTGCATGGTGAATGCGCTCTGTATGGGACTGACAGTAATCCCACCTTTGAAGTTCAGCACATCAAAAGATAAGGGATCCCCAAACAAAGCAGTGGCCAACCGCAGAGTTGACTGATGAACAAGTATGGATTCAAAATTAGACCGGATTAAGCTCTGGGCTGTTGGAGAGACTTTCACTGTTTTGGCATCAGAATCAACGGCAAAGATAACCTCTGTAGTGTTAGGTCTGGCTGCTGAAGGTTCAAGTGATATTATAACCACCTGTTATAAGAAGCAACAATGAGATGAGAATTGGAAGAAATAGCAACAAAATTGAGATGTGTGAAAATAGAGGATAAAAGAAGGGTGTGGTGAATACTTTAGTCTCAGCAACGTTTATTTCATCAAAAATATCATCTTGAAGTTGCAATGCATAGTCGTCCAAGAACCAATGTGGTTTATCAAGTGTGAATCTAGCTACTATTTCATGACCTGAAATTAGTCCCAATACAGTGAAATAAATCATTACATAAAAACTGAAATGCAAATACCTTCCAAATTTGGAGCAATCCATCTTGCTTTATCAAAATCGAAATGTGAATACCTTCCAAATTTCGCTTCAAAGTAACTAAAAGACTACACCAAAATGGAAAATTAAACTTCCCTTGCTTCTTACTTTAAATGAAGTTTTGGGTAGGAAATGAAGCATGTCACCAAGGATAACAAAAACAGTATATATTTTTCAACGGCAAGATTGTGTAAATTTTGACCCTAACGGAGTTGAGATTATACTGGACTGTTTTTGTTGTCGGCTTGTCGCTTCTTGCTTTAAACTCATGAAATTTAATTGTGATCTAGAACAATTAATCTAAGATAAGATACAACAGTGTACTCCTATTCACACGGCAACTTGGACTCTGAGATCAATTTTCTGTCAAGACTAATGCAAATGAGATTAGATCATGACAATGCTGATGAGGCGGAAACAAGAGTTGACAAATATGCAATCCCTTGGCAGGGAGTGGGCCCTGGAGGACTTGAGAGAGGCACGTCAGTGGTGTCAAGTGGAAATTGAGGGACTAATAATAATCATTTAAGACCGTTAGAGGATATAGGTGGGGGGGATGATGTGTGTATTATTCTCTACTTGTTCTATTAATGGCCACTTCACCACTTTGCATCTACATTGGCCCGTACAGATTGATATCAATAGCAAAGATTGTAACATACTGATTCGGTTTGAAAACTGTTCATGATGAGTTTAGAGATTCGATATGAGTCATCAAAGAACCCTTCAAGTTCGGTTCCAGATGACATTCAACAATTATTTTGTCAAAATGAGTCTGTTTTTTACCGCACCACATGGCTTACCACCCTTGAGGGATCACAAACATATAATTTTGTTACAAGAGCAGGACCAGTGAAGGTTTGAACTTGCATGTACCCATGTAGTCAGAAATTGGAACTTGAAAACATGGTCTTGGAACTTATAATGCTATGCTCTTTTGGGTCGTAACTCTTAACTTCCAACTACTTCTGGATTCTTCAACCTTTTTCAGCCTCTTCCAACACTTTCCAGCTTTTTTAACAAAACAAAGCCCAAACCCTTAATCCTTTAGATTCGATAGATGCTTACATGGTTCTTCTCTCTTCTTATGGACGTTTTTGAGTTCTTGCTTCTCTAGACTTGCAATGGGTGACAAACTCTTGCAGAAAGCAGAGTCGCAGACTTGCCGGACTGACCGAGTGACGGGTTGTTATTTCTATGCCTTTCATCTAGTTGATGAAGCCAACATGTACATGTCGTCTATTCATACTGCTTCTCCTACAATTTCTATATTTACCATCTTCGACTACTAGACACAAACACACACACACACTATCTTCTCTTCAAACTGCATCATCTACAATTTCCATTTTTTAAAATTTCATTCAGTATTTTAATTCTAACTGTCAAGATTAATTTTGTCCCTAAAACACAACAAGGCAGATGCAAAAGTGTCAACAGCCAACACCATGGCACTATTGAAATTTTATTTGATACTCTTGGTAGCATTCCCTATTCACTATTGGTAACTTCAAATATAATACTCTGGTAGCTACTTTGCATGGACTCTTTAAAAGAAATGCCGATTCTCGCCCCTAAAACATCCCTGTATGGATACATCATACATGGGGAAGTCCTGATACCCAAATCCTTTATAAGTTTTAAAAGATTTGTACTTCCACGTTTCTGACCTCGTGTTCGCAGATTCACTATTTTGTTATATGGCAATATGCAGGATTTTTATTTGCTAATTAATAATGAATTTTTACCTTCTTCATTTATGATTCTACTTTTAGTGGCATTTTATTCCATCATCTTTGCTCGAGACAAAGATTTATAATTTTTTGGAGTATGATCGAATAAAACAAAATGACTCTTTAAACTGTCTGCGCTTAACTCTATAGTGGAATAGCAGTTAGTCAATGCAACTTTTGACGCTCATCATGGGTCACCTGAAAACAACCGTTTTATGTTTTAAACCTATGGGTGAGGTTGCGTACACCACCCCCCCCCCCCGAGGCGCTGGTGTAATATTGTTGTTGGTTCTATTTTTAGGGTTTAATATTGACTCTTGTATTCTTGTGGTTGTCATACACACGTCCTGTATTTTTTTATACATGTCATGTTCTGTCCCCGTCTACGTTGTTATTCCAATTATTATTATTATTATTATTATTATTATTATTATTATTATTATTATTATTATTATTACTATTGTTGTTGTTATTGTTGTTGTTCTTGTTATTATTTATTGCCACTATTATTACTACTACTGCTACTACTCTATCCATCCCTAAACAAATTTCACTTTCACTATTCAAAAAGTCAAATTATATCTTTTATCTCTACTCATTTTTTTGAATGTCATTGACACGATTTCATTTGTCTTCGTCAAAATGGGATACAAATCTCACCAGACAACCGACAACAACAGCAAGGCCTATGATGATATGAACAAACTAAACATGCAATGAAGAAGTTCAAGGATAAGTAGTTTATACGAGTAATAATTTGTAATCTAGTTGAGTGTGATTAACTAAACTGTGTAACTTTGACAATATGACAATGTAAAAAATATCACATTAATTATTTTTCTATGAACATGTTCAATTAGTTACATGCAATAAAAATTAAAATCAATAAAATAAAGTATTACATTTTTTAAAAGTTTTTTCATTGAATACTAATAAAAAAATGTTGCTCATTTTGTCCCACTATTTTTGGGACACTGGTTAGACACTTAGACATGCAAATTAAAATGCATAAAATTTTGGTTGACACTGACATTAAAAGATACTCCGTAGTAAAAAAGTAAGAATTAACTTAGGTCACACAAATTTCTTGAAAAATATGAGTGGACACAAAAATGGCGGGGCATACAAAAAAAGATAAAAAGTGTAACAAATGGAGTAAAATATTTTAATAAAAAGATGAAACTTTAAAAATGTTAATATTTATTTCAACTCCTTTCAACTTTTTCCAATTTATTCCAACTCTTTCACATTTCTTCTAGCATCTACTTTGTTTATCCAACCCGAAATAATAGAGCCTAAGTGATGGGCTCATTCAACCAAGTGTCAGTCCATTTTCTGCCCGTGTTACTTAGTTTAAAAGAAAGATTATATGTGGCGATTTAGCATACATTATAGAACATTGAATACTATGATAAAAAGACTTCTTTTTTCGGGGTGGGGGTGGGGGGGATGCAGTTTTTTATTTGAGTTGGATCTTTGTTCTAGTTATCACCATATTCTCATGCATTCTGCAGACATTGATACGACTGATTTAAGAACACATCAGGGCTTCCATAAATAGCTAGTGAAATTTTTTATCCATTCTTGCACAAAGTTGTGCTCATCTTCTTTGATGGTATCATAGATTAAGTGCTTCTTGGTAACATCATCATTTAGAAGCTTTAAATGCAATGATGCAGCACCATTTATTGCTTAGCTAAAAAATGTTCCTTTGGACTCTTGCAAGTTGAGTATTTGAGGACTGAGGCATACAATTTTAATGGCTGGGGACGAGATGGATTCTTCAAAAACTTAAGCAGTACAACAATGGCATATCCCTTAGTTATCACATAGTTAAGAGGATTTCTAGGGTTGACGTGATGTGTTGGGCGGTGCTCCTTGGACCACACGGCAAGAAGGAGAGCAAATCCCATTCTAAGTGGGATTGCTCTTGATTTGTTTCCTTGTTCATATTTAGTGATTTGTTTCCTTGTAGGAATAGAATTCCTTTTGTGTTTTGGTCTTTATCCTCTCCTATAAATAAAGGAGAAACTCCTTGTACTTAGCAGAACAATTCAATATACAGAATATTTTCCCTCTTATTATTTTCTTCATGGTATCAGAGCAAGATTCCTAGGGAAAAACCCTAATCTAGACATACGACGGTCCATCACCGTCCTCCGCCGGTTCAAGCCTGTCTTCCGCCGGATCACCGACATCGACCGCCGGACTATCCTCCTCGACCGTCGACATGGCAGAAGTAGAAGAAAATCTCGTCGGCAAGCTTTTCGATGAGGAAGAAAAAATCCCTACGAAGGGAAGTTCTTACGAACTCAAGAACGCAGACACACCTGGATTAATTATCACCCAAGTCAAACTAAACGGTGATAATTATGAAGAATGGGCTCGTGCAATGAGAATTGCATTCCGTGCAAAACGGAAAATTGGATTCATCGACGGATCCATCCCTTGTCCAGAAGAAGGAGATGAAAACTATGAAGAATGGTGGATTGTGAATGCCATGTTGGTCTCATGGATTTACA